TTTTTTTATTATTTTTATTACTTAAGCTTTTAGCTTTTAGTAAAGAAATCTTTAAAGTTTTTTTTTTTTAGAGTAGTAACTACTACTTTATTTTACTTATTTATAGACTAGGCATCTATTATTATAGCATACTAACTAGGTTATGCATGCATAGTTGTTAGAAGTCTCTATAGTTATAGTTTTCTAGTTAATTACAAAGTTATGTATTCTAAGCTAGTTATAGCCTAGAATTACATTATATTTACTTTTTAGCTTAAGTATGTTTATAGACTTTTAATTTTTTATATTAAAAGTTTTAAAGTTTTTTTTATAAGTTTCTAAGTTAATCTATTCTCTACTATACTTAATTAATAATATGTTAGTAAAGGTTACCTTAAATAAGTTTTTTTTTATATAAAATAGTATACTTTACTTATCTACTTAATCTTTATTTATAGCAGTAAAGGTGCATCTGCTGTCTATAAAGGCTAGTCTAGGCTATCCTTTATACATAAAAGTAGTTGTTAGGCTATGTCTTACTTCTTACCCTACTATAATTACTACTAATATATTATGTTTAACTTCTTTATTTAGAAAAGGATAAGAATTAATATCTTATAAGTTATTATTAAACTTATACTTTTTTTTTTATAAATTTAATGTTCTTAATTATAGTAGTTAGTTACTTTACATTTATAATTTTTAACTAAGTAATATAATATTAGATAGTCTTCTTTTCTTACTACTTTCTACTAAAAATAGTAAAACCTATAGTTATCTTATTCTTTACATGCTGCTTATCCCTTCTGTTTGTGTAGAAAAGCTGTTTAATAAGTGTAACAGTTTATAGTTTTACAGGCTAAGGCTGTTCTCTACTATAGGCAACTGTTATAGTTCTTTTTCTATGTAGGCTACTATCCTACTTAATGTTTATTATTCTAGTGTTTAACACAGTATTATTATGTACACTAATACTAGGGGTATAGACACTTATTATGTCTATGTAATATGTTAAAAAGACTTTTTTAAGTTTATTATAAGTATTTCTTTGTTTATACTAGCTGTACAGGGTAATTTTTCTATTAGTAATTATTAGTGCTATAAGTGCTGCTTTTATAAAGAACATATTATTTATAGTTTTATTATATTATAAGAGCTTTTCTAAAGATTACTAGGCTTAGAAGTAGTGTCTTAGGTTTCTTAGGCGCTAGTTATAGTACTTTAAACTTAGCAGGTTTACCTAGCTATTTTAGCTTTTAATCTTTAATTTTAGTAAAAAATTACTATTACTTTTTTTTATTTATAATATTATATTTAACTTTA